CTGTAAGACCTTCATTCATCTTCAGAACACAAATTAAGATGTTTTTGATGAAATCTGAGAGCTTTCTGACCCTCCATAGACCCTGTTTTCTTTGCGCACAAAGAAACATAAAATTGATGTCACATGGACTATTTTATCTTTGTCCTTACTACCTTTCTGGGCCTTGAATGGTAGTTCCCTTGCTGTCTATGCAGGGTCAGAAAGCTACAATTATTACTTTTTTGATAATCCCTTTTACTCAAATGTATGTCACAATAGAAGAAGATCTACCGCTGCTTCTGTATGTAAATAAAGGTAATTTTAAGCAAGTCTCAATATATATATATATATACACACAATACTTTTACGCACAATACTATGGAATTTAAATGTTGACTAATAGTGGTAGTAGTATTAGTAGAACAGCATGAAAAGGTCAGAGGAATACAGCAGGATGCAGCATGTGTGTCACCCAGAACATAAACCACATGTCTATTCCAGTCCTGAATTTAGTGTGTGTGTGTGTGTGTGTGTGTGCCTCCCATCTGCTGATCTGTTTAGTAAGACCACCCCATCCCTCCTACATTAGTCACACTGCCCCCCATTTCATCCCTCACGCAAGCACACACATGCACAATGAGTAGTGAACAACACCTCCTACAGCTGGGCCTTTTGTGGTGTGAGCCCCCCTCTCCATCCCTTCAGCCCATGGGAGGTTTAACACCTGCCCGCAGAGGAGGGGTCGGGGTGGGGGTCAGGGCTGCGATTATGTTTTGTGAAAATAGATATGATAGTGACCAGCTGTAATTGCATCACGATGTGTTTAGAAATCCTGCTTTCTCTTTATGTCTCTCATAAAAACACATGGCCCATATGCAAACATAATGCAAGGTATCAATCAGTCATTCTGTGAACTTGCTGTATAATCACAACAGAAACCAGTTACTTATTCCTATCTTTTCCTATCTATCTTTGACATTTTTTAGCCACAACAGAGAGATGCATTTGTACAAGAGCGATATGGACATTACAACCTCCGTGACCCCTTCATAGCACTGCTGAGAGACAGCGAGCTGTCGCAGGCTCAGGATGATGGAGGGCAGAGTCCCGTGTGTCTGAACCCGCTGGGCGTGTTGAAGCTAGTGATGGCCCACTGCACCAACATGAAGGAGAAAATGATGAAACAGCTCGCTGCTGCAGAGAGGAGACACAGATGGGTGAGAGACAAAGACTGAGATCTGAGCTACCTACCTAGGCTGTATTTTTAGGCTCCTATGTGAAGGCTGCACTTTTAAAAATAAAGGTTCTTTATTGGCACCTGTGGTTCCATGAACAACCTTTAAAATCCATGAAATCTTTCTATTCCAAGGTTCTTTATGGTGAAAAATAGATTTTGAAAATATCCTAAACACCAAGAAAATTGTTATTTTAAGAACTGTTCACTAAAATGGTTCTTTGGAGAACCAAAAATGGTTATTCTATGGCTTCGCTATGAAACCTCCATGTTAGTTCTTTTATTTGTGACCCTGGACCACAAAACCAGTCATAAGGGTACATTTTTTTAAAATGAAATGTATACTCTGAAAGCTGAATAAATAAGCTTTCCATTGATGTATGGTTTGCTTATAATCAGTCCATCTCGATCGGGAACAGTTAAATAATCGTAATGACACCACGCAATAGAAGATCCCGGGGAGGGGAGAAAATCGGCCTTTAAATCATGTGTGCAGGCGGCTTAAGTGCACACAGAGGTGATGCCTTACTGAAAACCTTCGGTATCCCAGAACAAACCTTAGCCTGAGCTCAACCAATCCTAACTGTGTGAAAAGTTTGAAAGGAACACACACAGTCAACCATCTTAAATACTACTCCTGTAAGAGCTAATCTATTTAAATACTATTTTAATCTGTCTTTTAATGTTTTAATCTGTTTTTATTTTTTTACTTATCCTAAAATGTTACTATTAGTCCATTACTGATGACCTGCACAGATAAAAAATGTTAGTGTATAAAGTAAAAACTATGCTAAGCAAATAGTGATTAACCAAGTCTTCAACCAATCGGTCAGTCTTAGGCTACTAATGCTGTCTTGATCTGTGTCTGGCAAATGTGTGACATTTATATTATGTTTATGGTAAATATATAAAGTATTGGTTTTCTGACAAGCAGTAATATAATATGATGTGCAGTTGCTGTTAATTTCCTTAATCTATTTAGAAATTAACTACTGGAGATATGAACTAATATATGAAACAGTCATGGAAAACCTCTTGTGTCCTACTGTATTGCACCATGACTACATTATCCTCTAGTGTCAATCTGAAGCGTTGCTCAGGAAGCTGCCACCTGGTGGTTGGGCAGCATTAAGCATTAAACAACAGCCAAACCAGAGTACCGTCTCTGTAAACAAAGATTAAAAATGAAATTCTTCTGTGACATGAGTCAACAATAAAGTCAAAATGTTGTGTTCTGCGAATGTAAGTCT